AATGCAATACTAATAAAAAGACCTAAAAAATCTAAAATAAACTAATAAAAAGAAGGAAATAAAATAAACTGTCAGATGATCCAGTCATCTAGTGGAGTATAGATGACGACCATAGATTATTCTACACAGTCCAGTGGAACGCTAGCAGGCTCGCAACCTGTAGGTGTTTATTTGAACTCATTGTTCACCAGCAGTACTTCATCCCCCTCATAGTTGCCTTATTTGACATAAAGTGTTGAGGAACCCCCAAAGCAGCGTTGTCACCCCGATAAGAATCCTTAGGTTAGGTCCCTTATAATAGATGCTTTAGGGACGTAAAGTAAGGATAACGGGAACAGGTAATCTGGTTGTTTGGTTTGATGAAGTTAATAAATTTATTTATTGTGGGTTGAAAACCCTATGTGCTCACCAGGCTCCCAAGCCTGACCCACTCAGTTTCTTGTATTACAGGCAGTGGCACAAGAGCATAGATGCGATGACTTGATGATGAATTATGGATTATAGGCCAGTTGATATAAATAAATGTTGTAAGGCCTATGTTGTTTCGGTTTATGCTTTTGATATGTATTGACAATGATATCCTAAGGTTTTTAATATAATGAAATATATTTCTTCGGAAATGTTTTGATAAAATCTTTATCATATTTTTAGGAACAAATTCTGCAATATTTTTCTTTAAAAGGATACTCTGTTTCAAATAAAGCATAAACAAATCAATCTTTTCTGGCCGTGAAAATAGGAATGTCACATTGAAAGATTTAAATGTTTACTTCATGAGGATGGTTGTTACTAAATCCAAAATCCACAACTTGGTCTTCATCAAAACAAAAAATAGTTTTGTTGATAATGAAAACAAAATAAATATTTATATCACAACCAAAGTTATATCATGCAATGAGTGGACTTGATCACTTTATGGATTCACTTTTGCAAACTTCAGCACCATTTTGGATGGTTCTTTTGTTGAGAAGAAACTTGTTGGTTAGTTTATATGTTACAATCTAACGATTTGTATAACGATATTATGTTATTTACCATCACTCACCATACCAAAACTTTTATAATCTTCCATTTTTTTCTTATATAATAGATGTTATTGGTGATGTTGTGAGATGTTTCCCAATTGTGAACAAGAAAAATAATTTATCAAAGAGAGTCAATTTAAGCTTGGAAGATCTAGAGTATGTTTACTTTTCAAAATTTTGTGTCAAATATTACTTTATAATGTCATTTTATATTGTGTGTGTGTGTGTGTATATATATATATATATATATATATATATATATATATATATATTGGTTTTTGTAGAAGCAAACAAATAAATGTAACACTATGGGATGGGTATGCACAACAGTTTGTTGACTATTTGGAAAATAACAAACAAACTCGTATGGTAGAAGTTATTCAATGTGAAAAAAATATCTTATTATAGAGGTTTGTTCATTACTCTAATTAACAACTTACACATTAAAAAAATTTTCAAAGTGGTATTCTTCCTTTTACTATAAATGAATATACATTTGTACTAACTTCATTATGCATCGTTTCAGAACGTTTCTCCGTCACAAATTGCTTCACTACGACTAGGATCTTCATTAATGATTCTATTTTAAAGCAACAAAAATAACATATTCTTTATTGTTAAGATTTCTTCCCAAAGTCAGTCCATAAAGCACATCTACTAATTGTATCAATGCTTCCTCCACTATCCTCTACAATGCAAATGACGATTTCCTTCATTAGTTTGATGTTCATGTTATTGTTGATCTCTAACAAGTACATGAGGTTTATGTACTTAACTTTCATTTATGAAATATACATTATGTCAAATAGTTTTTGGATTTTTTTATCCTTATATTTCATTTCACTTTTTTTATTATATAATTTAAACTTACATCAATATTTCTTAGAAAAAACATTGATTGTTGTCAGTACAATTAAGCATCTGTGTACTCTATACTTCTTTCGTGTCACAACAATAAGGCAGAAAGAGGTGTTAGTAACCATTAAAGATGATAAGGTAAGATATAATTTAGGAATATTATATAAAGTGTAAATTGTAGATTTGTGATATTTATTTTTATGAAAAATATGTTGTTTGATTGCTAGGTTACATATATTTTTTTGTAATTTCATTTTGAATTTGTATTGTCCTCCAGAAATCAACCATAGCCTCACAGACCGTTCCCTCATATCTTAGTAGGTCTTAGTATTTCCCCAAATTCAACTACAAGAAGTCCTGGATGCACTTCTTGAATCAGTCCTCCAAAATGAATTTCATTTTTTTAGTTGGACGCAGTGACCAATATGCAAGATTTGTGAAAGTTCATTATTATTTATTAGTGTTAACCTTTGGCAAATTATATAACTGATATTATATTTTTGTTCATAGCATATTTTTTTGTAATAATTTCTTTGATCGAAAGATATGTATATGTGATTGGGTGTAGCCTGAAAAATCATATTTAGTTCTTATAAGGATAAAATACTTTAGAAATTGACCAAATTACAATGTCTGAATTAGATGTTTATGGTTATGGCAATGCACTTTAATTGTAATGTTTATCGAATTTCTTTGCAGAATTTAACGTTGTTGGTACATATGACAACTTAGTGTTCTTTTGGTTTTACAGGGCCAATTTGAAAAAAAGCCACATAAGCCTTCATGGGGGTTGGTACATCGAACAAAGTCAATTCATAAAGCTACTACACAACATGTTTTAATAAAGGAGTCACATCATGTTGTGACAAAACAAAGATCATGTGGATCATTTATGTTAAAAATTACTGTATTAAAGAACCAAATTTCTCTAATATAAATATTAAATATTTTTATTTAACAAGTTTGGTTCAAAAACTCTAAAAATGAATCTAACTAACATTTTTTTATTAAAACTTCACGTAAGGCCTTGCCACCTATTAATGTGTGATATGTATTTAATTTATGTTCCCTGTATTTAATGCGGGTCATAATCTAGTATGTTATTAAAATAAGGTGCATATATATATATAAATAATAATAATGATATTTAGTATTTGAAGCAAAAACTATTAAAAATTATATACATGTGATACCAACATCATTCGGACACATTATTATCGGAATCGATTAAATGTTTTTATTTGATTTATTAAGTGTTATATCATAAGCTAAAAATATTTATTTTTTATTAATGATGTAATTTAAATAGCTATCATTGTCACAAATAAAATAACATAGTGATTTGAAATAACAGTTCTCATGATACATTAGTTTGATCATTTTTTTGACATGCATTGTTTTGAATATTTTTGTTGGCCAACATTGTATCTTAGTAGGGTGAATGTGTGATTACCGTCATTATTACATCACGAGAACTGTTGTTTCAAATTGCGGCTCTTGACTGCTATTTTATTTATGGCTGTGCATTTGCAACCACAAACTCGTAATTTTCGACTCTACAGAAGATAACTGTGAAAACTGTTTAGATTACACCACATTAATAAAAGAAAAGTTTATGATATGACACTTAATAAATCAAATAAATATATTAAATCGATTCAAATATTGTTGGTATCATATGTATATGGTTTTTATCTAATTTTTCTTCAAATATTAAATATAATTATTATTTATATATACTTTATTTTAATAACATATAATAAAATTAGAATTAAACTAAAACAAAAAATAAAAATAAAAGTGAAAATAAAACCAATTAAGATCACGTTGGGAAATCATAGATTTCCAAATAAAATGTATAAAATCCAAGATTAGAAAAGTGCAAAAATAATGTGCGTTGGTTATTGTTTGCAAAAGGGCATAAAAGGATAAATATATTTTTATTAAGTGAATAGATAAAAATTCTAAGTGGAATTATCAGTCCCCAATTTAAAAACGCGTAAACCTAGAACGACTTGGTCGATCGTCTTACGTTAATGTATTTTTCTTCTTCTTCATAGTGATCGACTGTTCCTCTTCTTCATCTTATCTGGTGAGTGGTTTTGTTAATCGTTGATTCCCGTTTAAGATCTTTTCTTTTGCCTTTTAGTATATGCGATGATGTTATGGGTACAAAAATGATCTGATTCACTGACATTAAAATCTTGTGAACAACATTTATAGAATATTTCTTTTCAAAATAAATTAGATAATGTAGTTGATAACGACGATCAAGTTTATGTTATTTGAATATTTGTGTACATATGAGTTAGGACATCATCTTATCACCAAAATATGCAGTCGGCTTATTGATTGCAAATATGACAAACATGTGCTTTTCGAAAACTAAATTAAATCGAATTGTATAAATTCCTCAAATTATTTGAGTTAATTTGGATAACAGTTGTACCTAGATGATAGAACTGATATTGTTCTAACTTCTGAAAACATAACTCTTTTATTATTAACTTTATTGTTCTAACTTCTGAAAACATAACTCTTTTAGTATTAACTTTTTTTGTTAGTAAATATATGCAAATGTATTATTTGTGTCCAGTTACTCATGCTCATTACATAGTTGTCAATTGATGAAATTTTAAAACGTTTGCTGCATCCGTTTACCGGTTTACATAAACATGAATATTGACAACAATTCTAAAGTAGAATCAAGTTTATGCAAACAGAGATGCCATGGGAGGATTCTTTCTACTTTCTAGGTTCTTTTGCCAATGCCATGAGCTCAAAGTTTTGTATTGATTTTTAACAAAAATACGATTGAAGTTTCTATATAAACAAATAATTAAAATGTCTTACTGGATTCAAACAAGATTCTTTGAAAATCTTGAAAAGCAAGATATACATCTTTTGTAATACTAATAAAGCTAATTAACTCTATTTTTACATTGGTTTTGATTGCATCCTGATGTTGGAAAAATATAGGAGTACACAATGTCCGATTATCTATGCGAAGATTTGATTGTTGAAATATTTACACGACTACCACCGAAATCCCTCCTCTGATTTAGATCACTCTCTAAATTGTTATATAGTTGCATTTCTAGCCCTTGTTTTATACGCATGCACACTTTTCGATCCCCAAAAAAGATCCTCTTGAGACATGTAAATAATGACGATAATAAAAGAGCAGAAGACTTTTATACATTACACGGAGAAGACGAATTGCCATTGTGTTTGGAACGTGGATACAATGGTATAACAACAGCCGAGTTTCCTTGTAGCACATTTGTCAGAATTGTTGGTTCATGTTATGGAACTTTCTTTTTGAAGATTAATAATAGTTTGAGCCTATGGAACCCTTCAATTAGGCACAAACTAAGTGTGCCTAAATGTCCTCAGAAACCTGATGAACTTGAAACATTCCCTTGGGCAGGGATTGGGTTAGGATTCGACCTAATGAGTGATGATTATAAAATTGTGTGGATATCAGAGTCAAGAAAAAGTTCATTTGTTTATGCGGTGAAAACGGGTGCTTGGTGTGAGATTGCCTCCCCTACACCTCAGTTTTCTTATGTGTTAGATGATGCCTTGTTTTTCAATGGAGTGTTGCATTGGGAGGTACATCGTGATCATATCAAATCACAAGACATATACCTTCCTTCTTATATACTGACATTCGATTTGAGCACTCATGTTTTTGGCATGATTCGGTTGCTTGAACCTGGTTGGTGTTGGAGAACAACAGAACTAACAACCATCCAAGGTTCTCTAGCTTTGATTTCTTATCGTATGGATGTTGATGATACTTGGATTCGGGTATGGAGAGATGCTTCTTGGTATGTGGTTTTTAAATTAGGAACAAATCAACTTCCAATTGAAGGAGCTTTGCAATTGAAACCACAACCGACCATCAATGATGGTGATTTGTTGCTCAAAACTTTTGAGGAAGGGGTCCAAGTTTATAATCCCAAGACGCGGGTGCGATCAAGAGTAGTCAACTTCAATGTTGCTTCTTACGTAATAAACTTTTTTGAGTATGTCGAAACCCTTCATTTGTTAGACAAATCAACCATCTGATTATGGAGGTTGGTATTTTCAATCATTTATTTTATTATTTTCAATCAACATGAGACGTTGGTATGTTCAAGTCCCGCTAGGGACGAAAGTTTAAATATTAGAAGTAGAATAGTGGGTGCTTGTGTAAATTATTCTAAAAATAGTATCAATAATGTGTGTATACTCACAACATCTATATATAAAATTGGCAACGATGATATATAGATATACGAGTCGATTGAATCATGGTCAAAAGAGGAATTCACACCTGGGCACAATATATTGTGGTCTAATATAGTTTATGTGTCTACGTACAAGTATAAATATATGCCATGCTAGATTGAAACATTAAATAGGTTGAAAGTGTAGGAGTCAAAAACTTACAGAGGAAGAAAAGAAAAAGTGATAAAATGGAAGGAGTAGAATTTAGGAAAATGGATGAAATTCACAATAAATTTAGAGATGAAGGGGAAAGGGGGCAATGATATTGTGAAAGATGGAATATTAATGAAAAAATGAAAACTTAAAAATAATTATTGACTAAGGCGGTCAATCTATTGCTCCACATACAAAACGACTCAACTTAAAAATAAAAGTTTACATTTGGATTTGAATTTGGTTTTGGGTTTGGTTTTGGGAATGTCCAGTTTACCTAAAATATTAAAAGTTGCATATATCATTTTTCATGTTGAAAGTTTGGACTCTAACATTGCTCGTCTAATTTTTATGGCATGTCAAGTCAACATGTTTAAGGGTTGAGATGTCTCACTCAAACCCGTTTATTTACATGTAGGGTTTAGTCATGTTTCGTGTCACATCAATAATTGACAACCTTAGCCGTCTATATGGCACAACCACTATTACCAATATAAGTCAACCAACTACTACTTTAATATACCCAAATATACAAATTGATATCCAATACTCGAACCAATATAAGAACGGGTAAACCAATTACCGAAATGTTTTTATCGAAACCCGATTAACTTGAATTTGTGTTTCCATATCCAAATTATAAACGGATAAGTCGATTTGTTTGCATATCGGTTGTTCTAGACAGCCTGGTTAATTGGCTATTAGAATTCGCCCACATCACATACTTAGTATACTAATGAATTTTTATTTTTTGCTGTCAATGATAAAAGCTTTCGTTATTGGCCAATTTTATGGGGAAATCTCTAGAAAAATCTCAATATTTTACCCTATCTTACGAATAAGTCTTAAACTGAAATTTATTTACGAAAAAGCATAAATTGCCAGTAAAAATGACAATTTGATCATTTTTTCCCGGTTTATCGATTTTATTGTTGACCTATTTTATTGCTGACCTGGTTCCATTGAAGTCCTATTATGTTACCCTAATTTACAAATAAGCCTCACACTAAAATTAAGTAATGATTTGACCATTTTCTCCATTGACATACATTTTACCAGTATCATTGATGACCGGAACACGTAGTTATTAAATAAGATGACAAGATGGATATGATGGGTTATATAATGTTACATTTAGCGTAAACTTGATATATATCTCATCTGCTCATTTATGACTATGTCTCGAGGTCAGTAATGAAACCGGTAAAATGTGTATTTCCGGGAAAAAAAAGAGTGGGAAATGAGTTGATGAGATGGATATGTTGGATCACATAAGATTGGATAGGCGGGGTATTTATTAATTTATGTAATTATTGCAGTCTTTGTTGGATGCATTTTATATTCCAAAAAAATATACCATACATCATAATATCAAGTTTTATGGTAACGTAACATTATATAACCCAACACATATATCTCATCATCTCATTTGTTTATGTGATGAAAACGGGCGCTTGGTGTGAGATTGCCTCCCTACACCTCACTAGTTGTGTTACCTGAGGCTTTGTTTTTCAATGGAGTGTTGCATTGGGAGGTACATCGTGATCATATCAAATCACAAGACATATACCTTCCTTCTTATATACTAACATTTGATTTGAGCACTCATGTTTTTGGCATGATTCGGTTGCCTGAACCCGGTTGGCGTTGGAGAACAACAGGACTAACAACCATCCAAAGTTCTCTAGCTTTGATTTCTTATTGTATGGATGTTGATCATACTTGGATTCGGGAATGGAGAGATGCTTCTTGGTATGTGGTTTTTAAATTAGGAACAGATCAACTTCCAATTGAAGGAGATTTGCAATTGAAACCACAACCGACCATCAATGATGGTGATTTGTTGCTCAAAACTTTTGAGGAAGGGGTCCAAGTTTATAATCCCAAGACGCGGGTGAGATCAAGAGTAGTCAACTTCAATGTTGCTTCTGTCGTAATAAACTTTTTTGAGTGTGTCAAAACCCTTCATTTGTTAGACAAATCAACCATCTGATTATGGAGGTTGGTATTTTCAATCATTTATTTTATTATTTTCAATCAACATGAGACGTTGGTATGTTCAAGTCCCGCTAGGGACGAAAGTTTAAATATTAGAAGTAGAATAGTGGGTGCTTGTGTAAATTATTCTAAAAATAGTATCAATAATGTGTGTTTATCTCAATACATCTATATAAAATTGGCAGTCGAATTGAATCATGGTCAAAAGAGGAATTCACACCTGGCACAATATATTGTGGTCTAATATAGTTTATGTGTCTACATACAAACGTCTAGTATAATGATGTTTCATGCTAGATTGAAATGTTAAATAGGTTGAAAGAGTAAGAGTCAGAGACAGACTTACAGAGGCGGAAAAGAACAAGTGATAAAATGGAAGGAGTAGAATTTGGGGAAGCGGATGAAATTCACAATAAATTTAGAGATGAAGGTGAAGGGGGCCAATGGAATTGTGAAGGATGGGATATTAATGGAAAAATGAAAACTTAAAAATAATTATTGACTAAGGCGGTCAATCTGTTGCTCCACATACAAAACGAATCAACTTAAAAATAAAAGTTTACATTTGGATTTGGTTTTGGTTTTTGGAATGTCCGGTTTACCTAAAATATTAAAAGTTGCATATATCATTTTTCATGTTGAATGTTTGGACTCTAACATAACTCGTTTAATTTTTGTGTCATGTCAAGTCAACATGTTAAAGGGTTGAGATGTCTCACTCAAACCTATTTATTTACGTGTGGGGTTTAGTCGTGCTTCGTGTCACATCAATAATCGACACTCCTAACCGTCTATATGGCACCACCACTAGCACCAATATAAGTCGACCAACTATTACTTAAGTATACCCAAATATATAAATTGATATCCAATACTTGAACCAATATAAGAACGGGTAAACCAATTACCGAAATGTTTTTATTCAAACCCGTTTAACCCGAATTTGTGTTTCCATATCAAAATTATAAACGGATAAGCTGATATGTTCGCATATCGGTTGTTCTAGACAGCCTGGTTATCTAAATAAACTGGCTATCAGAATTTGCCCACATCACATACTCAGCGTACTAATGATTTTTTTTTTGTCGTCAATTGATAAAAGCTTCAGTTATTGGCACATTTTATGAGGAAATCTATAGAAAAGTCCCAGTATTTTACCCTAATTTACGAATAAGTCCCAAACTAAAATTTGTTTACGAAAAATCATAAATTACTAGTAAAAATGACAATTTGACCATTTTTCCCGGTTTACCAATTAATTGTTGACCTGGTTCCATTAAAGTCCTATTATATCACCCTAATTTACGAATAAGCTCAAACTAAATTTAAGTGATGATTTTGCCTTTTATACCATGTGACATACATTTTACCAGTTTCATTGATGACCAGAACATCTAGTTGTTAAATAAGATGATAAGATGGATATGATGAATTATATAATGTTACGTTTAGCGTAAACTTTATATTCATCTCATCGACTCATTTATGACTATGTCTCCAAGTCAGTAATGAAACCGATAAAATATGTGTTTCCCAAAAGAAAAGGGGGGGGGGGGGAATGAGTTGATGAGATGGATATGTTGGATTACATAAGAGTAGATAGACGGGGTAGATATTAATTTATGTAAGAGTAAATTACATGGTTAGTCCTTGTCAGTGTCAAATTGCGTGTTTAGTCCATATTTTTAAAAATTAACTCGGACTGTCCCTTATAAGTTTAAATGTTGCTCGGTTAGTCCCTGGCAGACTTGAAATGACTATATTGTCCTTCCTTATTTCTTTTTTGATTTTTTGAGTTGTTTTTATTTATTATATAAAAAATTAAAAGAATGCCCACTACCATCACCACACCCGATCCATCTTCTCCTCAACGCCTATTTCTCTTTCCCCCTCATTCTGCAAATATGTTGAAGAAAAGAAGTATGGAACTATCATCGAAAATTTGGACCATTACGACCGCCGCATACTATCTGTAACACTTGGATATTGGTAAGTTTCTTATTTGGCATTGTTATCAAAAAGTTTGCAAAATGGTCCCTTAGCTAGTATGCGGGGCGAACTTGAGTGGTACGGTTAGCGTACTCGCCTTGCATGGACGCGGAACTCATCCATGTATGTTGCGCGTATATGGAGTACGGACGGCGTACGTGCTCAGACCCAAAACCCTAATTTTTAAGGTTCAAGCCTTATATAATCACCTTAAGTCCCAAAAGCAGCCCCTGACCAGCCTCCATATGCCCTAAACCCTAAATATTGATCCTTAGCCATCATTTTGTGTCTTTAAGCTCTTGAGAAGAAAAGTTGGTGTTTTATTACTCATTTTGAAGGGATAGAAGAAGATTGAAGGTTTATTGCTTGGTGTGAAGTTTAGAGATCCAGAATCATCATTCCTTTTGCAAGTCATTTGAGATATAAAAGTCTTATCTTGACAACTCCTTGCATGGATCTTCTTTTGGACTTGTTTATGGCCATTTTAGTCCATTTTGGTTGGTCTTGATGAGTTAAGGCCGTTTTAGAAGCTAAACCTTGTAGATCTGGATGTTTTGAGGGTTCCTTAGACATAAAAATTCAAACTTTATGGTATTGGTGGTCTCAAGCATGCATTAAGCCATTTGTTAAGTCCTTTGCGCTTTAAGAGCCTCATTAAGCCATGCATGCACGTAAAGTTGACAACTTTACGTGATAAACCACCTTAAGGTAGTTAGATCTAAATGTTGGAGTGAAGTTTTAACCGTTTAAGAGTTAAATAAGAAAGTTGGCCAAACAGGGGGAGTACGTTGGGCGTACAAGCTGGTACGCCGCGAGTACAAGCCCTAAAGCGAGTACGCTTAGCATACAAGCTTAGTACGCCCCGCGTACTCAGCAGTGGGTTTTGGAAGTTGGGTTCTTCGGTATTGGGCCCATTTTGGACCTTAGGAATCTAGGGCTTTATTTTGGGCCATCAGAATATTGTTTTGGGCTAAGAATTTTTTTTGGATCTTAGTTTAAGGCACATGAAGGGGTTTGGGGCCAATTTGGAAAATTGGGCCATAATGGGCTTTGGGTGATTATTTTAGAATTTGGGCCTTTAGACAAATTGGATTGGGCCTAGGCCTTGGACCAAATATAGGGAAGGGTAAAAATGTCTTTTACCCTAGGTTGGACTCTTAGGGTGAGTCAAGATCCAATTATTAATTGGATGATGCTTTGTGATTATAGTGCGGGAATTTTTAGTGGGCCAACAGCTAGAGATTTATCCGTGAGATTCGGAAATACGATGTGAGTTTCCTCACTATGATTAGCAGGTCGCATACACCAATGTTGGCCCATGGCTTTGTATGTTAGGATGCTAGATGTCTGTGTGACTCTTGTATGTGTTATGTGTTCGTATGCTTACCGGGGCGGGGCCCAATGACCATCATGTATGTTATGTATCTGTGATTATTGCATGTGTTTTGTGTTTATATGTTTATATGTATGACGGGCGGGGCCCGATGACGGGCGGGACCCATTATGTGTTTATTTATGTATGTATGGTATAGTAATTTAGGGAACTCACTAAGCTTTGTGCTTACGGTTTTCAGTTTATGTTTCAGGTACTTCTGGTTTCAAATGGAAGAGCTTAGTATGATTGCAGAGCACACACCACTCGATTCCACGTTTTGTGATTCACTCTGATGATTGTTGATGTATTGATACAATTTTTTTATCTTGGTTTTATGACAATGACATGGTTTACTATTTTATTAATCTAGAAATGAAAATGTTCGGATCTTATTTTTGGGATGTTTCACTATTATCGGACCATCACCTCGCCCTCTTGAGCAAACCATTGGCACCATCAAACCCTCACTCACTCCCCTCTCTCTAGACTCCAATAATCCTCTCTCTCTCTCTCCCATGTTAACTCCAGTCACCTGTCGGCAACCCTATTTCTGCTGGCAACCTTATTTCTTTCGTACCGGAAATCACGACAGCAACCACGGGATAAGAGATGATGACGATGTAAATATGAGATGATCCAGTTTTTTACATATTTCAGATCTATGTCGTTATTGGTGTAAAGATAGTAGATTGGGGTGACATGGAGCTTGAATCGATGGTTCGAAGACAGTGATTGCACAGCAGTGACGACGATGGTGATGTTTTGGAAATCGTCTCCACCATCGACCACCAGCACCTCTGGTACCGATGGTGTTATTTTGACAATGGCCCTCATCTACCTTCTTTCACCTCTATTAGATACGAATCTGACCTCCTTCAACTCCATCAAAGACACCACAACCTTTACCTCCACTTATATCTACTATTGTCTACTGTGAACCTGAAATCCTATATGCAAAAAACCCAAACAGGTTTCAGGTTGCAGAAAACCAGTGGCATCCGGTTTGAGAAATCGTTTCTGAAATAAGTTATTGTGTGGGTGTGGTTATCGTTTTTGGTGGTCAATGCTCAAGAACACAGTTAACATATAGGAAGAGATTAACATACGAAAAGGAAAGGTATGAGTTGAAGATGGAGTGATGGGATGTGGTGGTCCACATTTCTTTTTTTATTTTTTATTTATATTAAAAACTAGGTGTGAGACCCGTGTATTACACGGGTTTATTAAAATGACCAAAAGTAACGGTGTGAGAAAAAAAAAGATCATTCACGTAAGTTTTGGTAATCGCAAAAACCATGTTCATAAAAAAAATAAGTAATGATTGAGTTTGTGACATTTGGTAAACCATATTGACCATTTATATAATTTGGTCTTAAGTAATCTATACTAATAAAATTAATTAATATGAATTCACAAATGGAATGTTATATCTACATTAATATACGTATACATTAATTAATATTTTAATAGAAAGAGAAATTCACAAATATAAAGTTACTATATACATTAATTAATATATTAATTAAAATTAATTAATATGAGTTGGCATTTAATAAGTGGATTTGAATAAAAGAGAAAAAAAAACTATAAAAATACAAATGGATATTAAATAATTCAAAAAATCTAGAAAA